CCAGGCTGCCCAGAGAGGGTGTGGAGTCTCCTGCTCTGGAGACTTTCAAACCCGCCTGGACGTATTCCTGTGTGGCTGCCCTGGGTGACCCTACTCTGGCAGGGGGTTGGACTGGATGATCCCTAGAGGTCCCTTCCAACCCAAGACATTCTATGATTCTATGATTCTGTTCCAGGTGTCAAAAGCAGCAGCAGATCTGATGGCGTACTGTGAAGCCCACGCCAAGGAAGACCCCTTATTGACCCCTGTCCCAGCCTCAGAAAACCCCTTTAGAGAGAAGAAGTTCTTCTGCGTGATCCTGTAAAACCCTCGAGGAGCCTGACCAGCACTCAGGCCACCCTGAACACTGATGTAGAGTTTTAGGAACGGGGACGACCTGCTAGTCTGCAGAATTTAAACAAAAATAAGTAAAATAAACGGCCTGGAAGCTACAGAGATGTGCATGTTTAAAGAACCTGGCCACCTTTGGGGGAATAAGATGATCTGCATTGCGAGGCAAAAGATCTGAAGTCTGTCGAGTTGCCTAGAAAGAAAAAAAAAATGTAAAGAATAAATTTGTGTCACTTTTCTGCTCACAAAATCGTTTGATTGTTCCATATTTAAAGCACCAGAGCTGTGCTGAGCAACGTAACTGCTAAGGATGTGTATAACCTTCTTGGAATGATATTGCTGGTTTCTTTCCAAAATATTATTTTTTATTTAAGTTGTCAGATATATAGCGACAGGTTAGGTGGCTATGATGTTACTCAATGTTTGGTCTTGTGCTTTTTTAATTTCTGGTGGTAGCGTAGCGCAGGGGCGGGTTAGCGAGGACGCCGGCAGCTCCTGCTTGCCCCTCCCAGCACGTCTCTAGCGAACCCCACTTTCTAATGTTTTGTATATGGTTAGCTTTGGCTCTGCAAGTAAAAGCGAATCATGTGTCGTGGTTGGTGCTTCATACTCCTGTGACGGCGTTCGGTGGTAGTGCATGAGCGTTTCTCTCTGTTCATCCGCCCCAGACTTTTCTTTCCTATCGTTTGACACCGCGTGCTGGTGGGAGAAGCTGCAGGGAGGAAGCCGAGGCAACTCCCGCGCGACGCCTTAGACGTGCCTGAAATAACCTCCTGCGTTAGGGTAGGTGCCAGCCCCCGGGTGGGGCACTGTGGGGTAGCTCGAAATCCGAAAAAATCAAAGTCGGCCACTTCTTTCCGGGTCTTTCCTCTTCTCCTACACCTCTGTGCCTCTGCCCTCCTCGCTCGGTCCGTGTCCTTGTTCTTTTGCCTTCCTGGCAGCATGCTTCACTGTGGGATGCTGCTCCACCGTGGGATGCTGACCCACCGTGGATGCTGACCCACCATGGGATGCCGACCCACCATGGGATGCCGTCCCGCGGCAGTGTGCTCCTGCCCCTTCCCGCACCCACCATCCCTCCCGACCCAGCCGCCACCCCGCCGCGACCAGGAGGGGCAGGGGAGCAGCTTTGGGGAGCTCTGGGGGAAGCCGTGGGGCCACCCCTCCACGGAGGTGCCTGATACCTTGTTTACACGCAGCCTGAGCCCTGCATCAGGCTGGGGAACCATTCCCAGGTCCGATTCATCCACCGTCAGCGTTTCAGGGGGGATGCCACTGTTTTTTGGCCCCTCTTTGGGTTAGCATTCTCTGGATGTGGCTTGTCTCCCGGCTCTCCCCGCTCACCTACCCCCTGGGAAACTTTGAGAATCATAACTTGGGGATGTGCATACAAAATTAGGGAGGGGGATCACGTAAGGCGTTTGGGGGTCTGCAGTGACCCCCGTTAATATAGTTCTGAGTCAGGTATCAGCTTCAAAATCCCTGTGGATTCAAGAGGGCAATAGTCTTTGGGTACTTTCTGGTGAATCTTTCTAGCCCGTACCAAATGCTTTTTGGTTTTTCTACCTTTTCATACTCTTTTTCTAAAAGTCTTCTGCGGAGAAGACCAGTTATTCTTACACTGGACTCAGAACTTTTGGCAGCTGGGAATGTTTATACAACACGAGTAGCCTAGATGGTCCCAGCCCTGCTGCGGTGGCTTTCGTCTCCCCGCAACCTCCTTCTTTCAGCCTTTTTACTACAGCTCACGTAGCTTTAGGACGAAGGACAAAGCCCACAGCTGGTTTCACTCCCGGTGTTACAAGGCAGATGTGTAAATACCCCATCCTGGTTTTGTCTTTTTTGTTTATTTTTATTTTTTAACCCTATTTTACCATCACAGAGTCTGAAGTGCAGCCGGTCTGACCCGGGGCTCACACCCCAACCCTTCTCAAGTGCTGTCTTGAAGTGATTTGTAATAATTTTTTTAACGACTTGCATATTTTACAACTCAAATTCTTAATAAATAAATGAAGAAATAAAGCTGCATGAAGATTATGGGGTGGGAGGGGAGCGGGGGGGAGGGGGAATTTTGAATTAGCCTAAACTACTCATTGAAGGTGTTTTACATTGCTGGTCTTTATTTTAAGTTGGTCGTGGTGTTGACATAGGTGTGCTGCCAGGTATTTCACCCCAGTATTTATATTTACACAGATACGCCTTTGTTAGCCAAGTAGAGATCGCCTGCCAAGATCGTTTCCCCCCCTCCACCTCGCAATCAAAAAATACGTCATCTCTACAT